ATTCACCGAGAGTGCGATTTGCGTTGAATTTAGTCAACCCAAAACCAAGATTCTTCCACAAAATCTCCGTTGTGGATAGCGGATGGTCTCATTTGAATCTTCTTCGATAATTTGTTCCACAACAGCAATAGCGTCCTCGGTGCAAACTGAACGACGTTTTTGAGGGTGCGCATTGTCCGCTAGCGTAAAAGTGGTACGAGCCCGTTCCATGACTGCTGGAATTACTGACCCTGCTCGGTGTTTAAGTCGTCCGAATATTGGACGCAGCGCGCGATCCGAACCATTATTTTGGTAATTGATTGATTGTTTGATAAACGAGGAATGCGACCCTTGGTCTATTGTGTCCTCTCCTAAATCACCAAGACTCACCTTGCCCCAGCATATTGATAAAGTGCAATATGCTGCTGGGTGGTAGCGAAGCGATGTGATGTTTATTCGACAACATGGATCCAAAGGTCTTTAACCTGCGTCTGCAGACTGCTGTGTAGTCAATTAGCAGGTGTTCAGGTGTTTCAGGTTCCCTGTCGTAGAATCGCCAATTCACATAAAAAGCTAGTCCCACGTTGTTTAAGTGCCTCTTCAGCTTGCAGTGGCCAGTGTAAAATGGGACCAGTAGTCTGAGTTTATTCCTAGGGAGGTTCATTGCATATTTAAAACTGCTGAGCTTATATTGCAGAACACCTACATGGGAGTAACGTCAATATACGGCTATACCTTTTTGACCGGACACTCAGATGAGGTGCACTAGGTCATTTGGGAAAGCGTAGTAAGATCAGAGCTGCCCAACTTTTTTGTTTGACTTGTTGAAAGGGTGTATATAAATACATATATATAGATGTAATTGTATATAAATACATACTAACGAAGTATACAAACAAAAACAGCGACTTTTGATACACATTTATTTACATTTGCGTAGCTTGTGTATGCCTAGCCAGATAGATCATTTAAGGAGAGAAATTAAAAGTATAAATCACCATTTATCCAACAGTGAATCACTGATCCGCCCCGTTTCTATTTAAATATATTTCGTAAAAGTATTAAAAATGCATTAAAAGCCACAAGTGGCTGTAAAGTGATCGCACATTCACACATGCATTTCTACGAATAGCTCGGTATGTTTATGCCCACAGAGTAGACGAGGATTGCCTTGGCATCGACACCTTGAATAAATGACTGTCAGTGCGTACATGCCATAAAGAATCGCCCGAATTGATCATTTCCATGCTTACTCCCTTCGGACTTTATCGCTTGCTGGCAATATTTACTATGCATAAATTACTGACTAAGTACAAAAAAACAGCAAAAACTTAATGAAATTGTTCTAAAATTCATTTTCGCATGGAAAGGTATGAAAATAATGAAGAAATTGAGGTTGTTTAATTTTTGCAGAGAAATGTGTAAACTATCTGTGTCATAAGGTTGCTGAGGAATGCTTCAATAACAATGTGTTTCTTAGCCATAGGACAGCGGCAATCAGTCTGAATTCATAAAAAGTTGAAAATTGTTAAAAATGTGTACTATATATAATAGTAAAAGAGGTTTACTAAATAAAGTCCAAAGCGACTTTATTATCCAAGAAGTGGGCATAATGCACATCCTGAAAATAATATATTTAGGACATCAGGAACATCAGAAAGAATTGCCATACAAAAATGGGTTTCAAAGAACAAACCGAAAAAAAAGCGAACGTTCTACAGTTGTAATTAATAATAACAGTAACTATGTTTGTAAGTATTATTTTCTATTTGCTTCGCGGATTTTATAGTTTCTTTACAAGTCCAGACAGACCGATTTTGACTAAATTTAGTACGTGAGCGAAATCGGACTACAACCACGTCTACTTCCTGTGTATCATATATTTTAAACTCCAATTGACTATTTCACTTTCCATTGTACAAAGCAAGAAGTAATTAACAAACGGTATACAAATTTCGACTAATCATTCTTTTAGAGTATAACTTTACGACCAAAAAGTTTCCAAATCGATCCAAACTGTTCAAGCTCCCGAATACCGGAAATTTTGACCTTAGTATCTGTTGTTCACTTTTCACCGAAAATATCATTCAATGTAAAAGATATACAATTGAAATTCAGAAAGAATTATTTGACTGGGACCGGGTGACTTTCTACTAGTTATATCAGTCAATAATCTCAATGAAAATTGGAATGTGTGTTTTACTCCAAACAGTATGTCTTTGTGAATAAAAGAGACATATAACTAATACCAGGATTATCGAATGTCCGACTGGCTTTACTAGAAGGTGCGTTCCAAAGTAAACAGCAAACAGCAACCTTTTAGAATCTAGCGCCTCCTGCTGACGCCACCTACATGTCGACTGGTGTATTACAGTCTGATATCTTGTCGATTGTCCAGTGAGAATTTCATGGCATTTCATTGATTGGAAGTGAAGTTATTGCATTTTAAGTGTCAGTATGTTTGTGCTTCGAACAAAGAGCGAACATTAAATCTTGTTCTAAAATTGGTAAAACTGTTACCGAAACGTTTCAATTGATGAAACAAGTTTATGGCGATTATTGCCTTTTCTGTAGCAAAGTGCACGGCTGATTTCAACGTACTCAAAGTGGTCCGGACGACATAAATGGCGATCAACATTTGGGCCAATCAAAATCCATGATCATCGGAAAATCCTTCGAAACTGTGCGTGACTTCATCGAAAATCAGCCGAAATCATTATTAAAATTCATGAAAGTAGAATTGAACATCACCAAAACATCGATTTATCGCAATTTGATCGAATATTTGAGCTTACGAAGGGATGTGCATGGTTGGTTCCACACAAATGGACCGATGACCAAAAGTTGTTCAGAATCCAACATCCGAAGGACGATTATTTGACCAAAAATTACACTTTAACCATTAACCACTCCCCGTATTTACCTGATATGGCACGGTGCGATTTCTTACTTTTCGGAAAAATGCATTTGCCCATGAAAGGAAAGAGTTATGCAGACGTAGAGGCCATTCAAAAGGCATGCACAGGCATACTGGCGGCCATGCCGACCAATGAACTAAAATACTCATTCGACATGCTTTTGGACCGTGTAAAAAGCTATATTGAAGCAGAGGTAGACTATTTTGAACAAAATAAATTGATTTTGCCGAAAAGACCATTTGTTCTTTTTTTTGTTAAGTCCCGTTTACCTTGAAACGCACCTTGTATATATGATTGTTGATTGTATGTGAAATACTTAACGAACTCCTGGGAACATTCTCTTAGTATGTGTCATGATAATAGTTAATAGTTAAATAAAATTTGGTCGATACTACCCCAACTTACATGTAATAAACATGCATATCGTTTTTGTCGGTTAATGTATAAGTTATGTAGAGCATATATGTACATATGTGTATATAAAATTGCTTCAATTTCCATCATCTAGATGACATTTAACATTTCAAGGAATTTGATTCTTCTAAGTTACAAGAGTATAAAATGTTCGATTGCACACGAACTTAGAGCTTCCTTACTGCTTCAACATTTCTTCGTAAAAATCGCATTCATTGAATGTTATACTTTAATGTTCATTTATTTATCATTAAAAAGAAAGTTCTATCTGTGTCGTCACAAAAATTTGTCTGTTCTTACACGAATCAACGCTTCTGCACCCATAGACACATCTATCTGCCATTGTGATATGGTAACCCCATCAAAACAATAATTTGCTTATTTATTTAATTATCCTTAGGGTCTAATTAGTCTTTTTAAGTAGACATGTGTATATGTGTGTTGGAGGATAATGGATACGTGTAACTTAATCGCTACAAATACAAATGACCATTACAGAACATTGTGCTGCATAAACATAAACATTAGTGTGTATGTGTGTAGTGTGAAGTTGCGGTGAAAACATTTCAAGTTAAAGTACAATGGCAAGCATATATGTCAAACCATTAGCAAATGTTAAGGACAATGGCATGACTTGACACGAATGCCATATTTTGTGAAAGCACATATCCACAAATTTAATGGAAGCTCTGAAACTGTAGTTAGTACTGCGTCGATCCCAACAAAGCATGGTCAGAAATATTTCTTACTAATATTTCCTTTTTCTCTTTCTACAAACTTGGACCGAAATTTTCGGTACAAAGTCAGTAATACGCATTGTTGTTGTTGTTGTAGCGGCCAAATTCTGCCTATTTGATAGTCCTTGGCCGAATAAGAAATCCTGGCCCGCTCCGGTTACGTAGACCCGACTCTCGCAGGAACGGCACTGGTGTCCACATATTCCGTAGCTGGGCATTGAACATTTATGGTTCGACTTTGACAATTGAAAAAGCCGTAAGGCGCTTTTTGTACAAAGTTTTATCGCACTATATATTAATTACTTCTTGATTTTTATACTGGAAAGCGAAAGACAGATGTAGGGATGCATGAATAATATTATCTACCGAGTTTGGTGGAAATTAATCAAGGAGGTCCTGAAATATGTGATTTCACTTCATCCGCTTTCGAAAGCGCATTTAGTTATTTCTTTATCACACTTTTAGTAGAACATACGATTTTATTTATTTTCATAACTTCATGAGCGAACTTGGTTTATTTTACATAGTTGTATGACCCTTGAGATATGAGTATTAAACCTACTAATGGGCGGAATCACCCCAACTTTTTCAAAAATTTCAAAAGAAAATCTCAAAAACTCAGAAACTGGTTCGCGTATACAGACAAAATGATGACGGACGGCAAAATCGAATCTGCTCGTCACATTGAATATATATGTATATACAGTCTACATTTTATAGGGTTCCCGACATTTCCGCCTGAGTTCTACAAGCTTTGTAGAGAAAACAAATATAATTTTCTAATATAAAATATAGTTTGATTCGCCTCTCCGGACTCTTTGGCCGACGAACCTTAAAGAAAGCTCTCAAGCAGGCCCCCTTTGAAGACTAATCCCACATTCAATTGTACAGTAGCATAAATATCCATCGTGTTTCACCCATTTTTCACTAAAATTATCATTTATGTACCCACCTTTACTGCAATGCACCGCCAAAATAAGGCAAATCCCTCCTAAGATGATTTTCAGGTCCTTTTGCATTTTTTCTTTGTAGCACACGCTTACTTCCAGCTAGGTATCAGCAACGACTGACAGGTATTTCTAAGCACCGCTTTGACCTTGAGCAATTCCAGACTTTTTAATTTTTTTGATTTGTTTTAAAGCTCTCTTTTCGAATTCTAGCAAATAAATCTAGAATTTTAATTCACTTCACAGCTGTCGAATAGGATTAACGCCATTTATTATCTTCTTAAATAATTGAATAAATATTTGCGACAATACGACGCCAATAACCGTTAAAATAGAAAAACAATGTGGAATGTTTCTCAAGTAATTGCTCGCACGTGAGCAGCAAGCAGAACGCGTTGTTAACACTTTCTCTAGTGGACTCCGACTGAAGCGAGCAGCCGCTAGTGCCGACGAAAGAAGCTACCAAACTCGCAAATGGCAAAAACAACACACGGTAATTTGCAAATTTCCACAAGTGATATCGTACGTCGCTGCTGCAGCTGAGGCTGCTGCTCTTTCCAATTATATATATGCATACATATAAGATATGTATGTATATGTTTCCTAGCGCTAAGAACTGTAAACAGTTTTCGTCACTTGGTGTTAATTCGGCTGTTGGCTGTCGGCCGTAATTCCCCTGTTGTATTTGTTACTAGCAGTGGTGCACTTGCTTCTGTAAGCCTCCCACGGCGCCGTGGTGACGGCGCTGATGGCATTGATGGTGCTGAAGAAGGTGGCAGTCTTAATGGCGCCATACGAACGCTAACATAGAATACGAAGTACTCATCAGTCCTTTCGGTACAGGGTTGGTTTAAAATTAAATAAATTGTATATAACATATATATTTGAGAGACGCTGTGTTTTTGTGTATGCCACAAAATGTTAACAGTTTGAGAGCCATTGCATGTGAATGACTGTTAACAACGGATTTCCGCTAATTTTTACATAACATTTTATGAACATTCTCTGTTCTGCTAATACATTTAAGTCTGTTATCAAATTAAAGCAAACTCTGTTGAATAACTTAAGTGATTTCACCACAAAAAATTGTTCACCTCTGTTGGTGAACCAAATCATATTCACCTCCGTATAGGTTAAAAACTGAATACACAGTTGCCGTCCCATATAACGAGACTTAAGTTGTACGCACAACAAAAACATAATTGGTGAAAATCGAAAAACTGTATATATCGAATGATTTTTTTTTTACATACATTGCGATAAACTACCGGGGAATTGTAAACAAAATGCAAAATATTTAACTATTCATCACTATTTATGAAGCTATTCAACAAAAATACGGACTGGACTTCGTTCAAACAAATACTTCAGACTAAACTAAAGTGTCTGAAAAACACAACAATTGAGCAACTAGAGTAAGAAGTTAACACATTTGAGACAGAAATTCAACAAGCAGCGTGGGATAATACTCCGGAGATAAAGCGGAAAATTTAAAGTTTCAAATTACCCTAAAGCAATAAAAATCCTTCTAATTAAGAAAAGAAAGTTACGACGGAAATGGCAACAAACCCGCTCAGCACTCGACAAAACCAACTTTTATAAGGCAACAGCAGAATTAAAACGAGAAGTTGCTCATATTAAGAAAGAGTCATTTAATAAATATTTATCTCAACTATCCGCTGACAAAAAAGAGGTTACGCACTTTGTAAAAGTACAAAGTATCTGAAACGTTCAACAAGTCACGTTGCACCACTAAAAGGTGCTTCCAATACATGGGTTAGAAGTGATTCTGATAAAGCTAATGCATTGCCAAAACACCTAGTTGAAACCTTTCGTCCAAACGAGGGTAGTAAAATCGCCTTCCTCAGTAGTATTCAACAGGATCATGCAACAATCCCAGCAATCACCATTTATGAACTTAAAAGTGAAAATAAAAAGGTTAAAGTTAAGAAAACAGCTGGCTTCGATTTAATTACAGCTGAAGTGTTAAAGCAGTTACCATACAAATGTTTGCGGAAGCTCACCTATCTTTTCAAGGTTGTTGTCGAAGTTGTTACGGTTCCTAAGCCAGGAAAGGATCCTCACGTAGTCTCGTCATATAGACCAATTTCACTACTTCCACAAATCTCAAAACTTTTTGAAAAATTAATTGATCCAATATTAAAATCTATAATCGACGTAAAGCAGTGAATCCCATTGCATCAGTTTGGATTTAGAAATAAGCATTAAACAATAGAACAAATTTACAGAATAACATCAGAAATTGAAAAATCCCTGGAGGAGGGAAACGTATGTTCAGCTGTATTCCTTGACGTTGCACAAGCGTTTGACAAGGTATGGCACTAAGGCCTTATGCGAAAACTAAAATCATGTCTTCTGATTGAGTGAATGGCGTTCATAGAACTTTCCTCACTTGCGTGAACTTCTACACATGACTCCATTCTCCAAATTACTTCTTTATAAACAAATAATCAAGCCGGTTTGGTATTATGGTGCGCAACTGTGGGGATGTGCCAATGATGGCAGTATTAATATTATACAACGTTTTCAAAACAAGGTGCTAAGAGGCATTGTAAATCCCCTTGGTACTGCAGAAATGCTGATTTTCATCGAGACCTAAGGATGAATACAGTCGCCGAAAAAATAAGGAGTCAGGCAGATGCCCACTAAAAAGGCCGCTCTAGTCGATTATGTCGAAAAAAAAACCACATAGCTTAGTTGGCAGCTAAAATATAAAGTAATTAATAAGGTGACATTTGAATTTAAACTGCGCGCGTCGAAGGATTTGGAGAATTATTTTTTTTTAGGTTGGTAGTACTGTCAATCACATTTATGTAAAATTTCATGTCAAAATATTCATTAGTGTTTGAGATACGCGTCGTTTTGTGAGCTGCTAAAAGTGAGTTTTTCGTTTTTTGCGATGTCGAAATATGTTGAGCAAAGAATTTGCATTAAATTTTGTTTACGGAATCAATTTTCTGTTGCGAATACGTTGAGGATGGTGCAGAAAGTCTTTGGTGATGAGACTATATCTAAAAAAAATGTTTACAAGTGGTATAGTGGGTTCCAAGCCGGCCGTGAACGTGTCGAAGACGAAGAGCGTCCAGGGCGATCATCAATCTCAACCGCCGAAGTTCACGATCAACAAAATTGGAGACCTTGCTGATGAAGGCATACCGAAAGGCTCAGCCAATACCATTTTGAAGTATAACTGGCGATGAGACTTGGATCTACGCTTACGACCCCGAAACTACCGATCAATCGAGCGAAATCGTGCCAAAAGAGAGCCGAGACCAAAAAAATCGCGCCAAAGTCGCTCAAAAATCAATTTCATGTTGACTCTTTTCTTCGATTATCGCGCCGTTGTGCATTATGAATTCCTTCCAACCGGTCAAACAGTCAACAAGGCATATTATTTGAACGTTATGCATCGTTTGCGTAACGCTATCCGCCTAAAAAGGCCGGAATTGTGAAAAGACAATTCATGGTTTTTACACCGCGATAATGCGCCACCATACTGCAGTCGTATTTCGTGATCATTTCGCCAAAAAGTCCACCCATATCGTTCCGCAACCACCGTATTCACCTGATCTGGCGCCGTGTGACTTCTGGCTGCTCACCAAGCTCAAAAGACCGCTCCGGAGACACCGCTTTTATACGATAGAGGAGGTTCAAGCCGCAGCGAAGATGGAACTGAAGGCCATCCCGGAAAGAGACTACAACCAGTGTTTCGAAGATTGGAAAATCCATTGGCATAAGTGCATTGCATCGGGAGGGGATTACTTTTAAGGGGATGAAATTGATTTAGAAGAATAAATAAAGAATTTTCAAAATAAATATAATATAACCTTATTTTTTGGGCACATACTTATATGTAATTTGTTTTTAAATTAGTAAAATCAAACTGTTCGTTAATTTTTGAAACTAGTTGTAGTGATATCAAACATTGATAAAATTTTAAAAATGTTTGTAATAAAAAAAAAAACTATTTGTTTTGTCGCCATCCAAGTAATCCTAACCAGATGTAATTCCCTTCCACCAACGACTTTTCCAGACCTCGAAAAACTTTCAATAATTACTTTTTGAGATGGCCTTCAACTTCTTCAGCGAATTTTATTTTATCTGTTTGATCGACTAGAATGGGTTCCACGGAGCGGCAAATATAGTTTGCTGAACACGAACACTCTCCCGAAATTATAACAATTCATCTTAGCCTTCACTCAGCCATCAGCCTTACGTCAGAAAAAACTGTTGCTGTCAGGGTTAATGTTGACTCAAGTGTGTATTTGCCATCGCAACTAACTAGTTCTACATTCTTCTTCTTTGATTTATTTATTTATAAACATAATTATTAATACAATTTAAAAAGTCTTATCTACTAACCGTTTTTATACTCTCGCAACAAAGTTGCTAAGGAGAGTATTATAGTTTTGTTCACATAACGGTTGTTTGTAAGTCCTAAAACTAAAAGAGTCAGATATAGGTTTATATATACCAAAGTGAACAGGGTGACGAGTAGAGTTGAAATCCGGATGTCTGTCTGTTCGTCCGTCCGTCCGTGMAAGCTGTAACTTGAGTAAAAATTGAGATATTATGATGCAACTTGTAATTTTTTTTTAAAGTGGGCGTGGCCCCACCCCCTATTAAGTTTTTTGTACATGTCTCGAAAATTACTAAAGATATGTCAACCAAACTGTACAGAGTCGTTTCTTTTAGGCATTTCCATATACAGTTCAAAAATGGAAGAAATCAGATAATAACCACGCCCACCTCCCATACAAAGGTTATGTTGAAAATCACTAAAAGTGCGTTAATCGACTAACAAAAAACGTCAGAAACACTAAATTTTATGAAAGAAATGTCAAAAGGAAGCTGCATCCAGGTTTTTTTTTAAAATTGAAAATGGGCGTTGCGTCGCCCACCAAAAACCATATCTCAGGAAGTACTCAACCGATTTCAATGAAATTCGGTGTATGATATTTTCTTAGCACCCTGATGACATGTACCAAATATGGGTGAAATCGGTTCTCAACCACGCCTGAAATCTCGATTATCACTTTATCATGCGAGAGTATAAAATGTTCGGTGACACCCGAACTTAGCCCTTCTTTACTTGTTGTAAGAATACTTTTGCACAAAATGCAATTTCTGTGACGAAGTTTCCCAAGCCTAATAACGTTTTGATCCCGCGTTTGTTTTTAGGTGGATAACTTGGAGTATTATCCAAAATAAGCAGCGCTTCTTTTGAAAGGATCTGTTCATCCAAACTTCAATAATCTTCAAAACAGGGGTTTTTGAATATCACTGAGAAAAACCTCGTTATTTTCTAACGTGTGGGACAAAGTGATCAAAAAAACAATTTTTGTAAGATGAAAGTATTCATTCCAGCGGGTATCATGTTCT